GAGCCTATTCGAAACAAACAAACAAACAAATCTTTCCTCTTTATAATATTATAAGTATAAGTATAAGTATAAGTATAGAAAAACATTGAAAGAGTTTGTTATTTTACAAATAAAAAATAAAAATAAAAAATAAAAAAAATTATAAGCAAAATAAAACTGAAAATGAAATGCACAAAATGAATCTTAACCTTGAATCGTCAATAATTGTGTTCGAATCTCGACCACCAGACGAATACTAATAGTTCTAATCAATTTACGTTGTGTGTATCAAGCATTGCAAATATAATTTTTCGATAACGGTTTTTTATATTATCCTATCAGGAATCACAAGTATGCTCCGTTTCCAGCAGACGCATATTAAAACCAATTATACGATACTGTGGTGCGTGGCTATAAAAACAGTATAGTTTTCAAAAAGTCGGAACTTAAAAAATTCAAATAACAAACGCGACGCGTGATCTCATTACAAGATATACTTATTTATTGAAAACAGAAAACAAGGGGTATCAGTAATTCGATTAATCTATACTAATATTATAATCCTTACTAATATTATACCTATACTATAATAATATTATAAAGAGGAAAGATTTGTTTGTATGTTTGTATTGAATAGGCTCCGAAAGTACTGAACCGATTTGAAAATTTTTTTCACAGTTTGGAGGCTATAATCATTATTGAAAAAAATTTGGGATCCTTACTAAAACTCCAATAATGTAACCCAAGGTGTAAAAAAATTACCTAAAATATTCTTTACATCGCGTGCCCTGCGAAAACTATTGATGATAGAATAAAATAATGTACTACGACTTTGTAGAATACATTATTATTTACAAAAAGTGTCACAACAGCATATGTTTAACTATTATAGTTATGCCACAGTAAGTGTTCTTTTATTTAAAAAAATAAAACAACGTCAAGTATAGTTGAAATTTTGTTAAAGACCCGAGCGGAGCCGGAGCGGGCCGCTAGTTAGTTTATAAAGAAATACACTACCCATTTATTGTCTTCGGCTAAAAAGATAGCCTAGATCAAAGTGGCCGTGTCCTCCCTCCATTACCCGATAATTTTCTTCCCACATTATAATTATAAAAAAGGTTCCATAACTAAAACTAACAATAGTCTTTGAACTTCAGCATTTCAAAGTTTCTCGTCCTATTCTAAGATACGCCTATAGTAGTAGCCATGTTACAACGCAGTAACGAATTTAAATTTGACGGACACTTCTTCAACGACAAAAAAACCAAATATTTAAGACGATTTGTTATGAATTGATTACAAACATACTTGTATACTTGCTTTAGTACAGTTGTCATCATTTATTCGAGATCATGGGCCATAAAATTTTAACTGGTTTCAAACAAGTATTTTATAAAAAAAAAATCAAGAGGCCAAAAAATACAAATATAAATAAGTTATGGTTCTTCAAATCTATAGTGTTTGACTAAATTAAACATGTGCATGTTCAATTAATAAATTATTCAGGAAATTAAAACGTATAATGTTTTCCGTTAGGATCCATTAGCAATTTATTTATTCATAGCTTAGAGGGGGGACGAGCGCACGGTCTACCTGATGTTAAGTGGTTACCATGTTATAAGGTGAATTCTGCCATCCACCTACCCTGCACCTCAAACCGAAACGCATTACTGGTTCACGGCAGAAATAGGCAGAGTGGTAGTACGTACCCGTGCGGACTCACAAGACGTCCTACCACCAGTGATTACGCAAATTATAATTTTGCGGGTTTGATTATTACTACACGATGTTATTCCTTCACCGTGGAAGTCAATCGTGAACATTTGTTAAGTACGCATTTCATTACAAAAATTGGTACCTACCTGCGAGATTCGAACACTGTCGCATCGCTAGATACGAATGCACCAGACGTCTTATCCTTTAGGCCACGAAGACTGTTATGCGATTACAAATATACGTACCTATGTATAAAGTTTGGCTGCCTTACAGTTAGGTAGGGCATTTTGTGGCCGTGTACGCCTATTTCAGCCTATTTCAACGGCTGAGCAATCGTCCGTTATAGTTTCAAGGGCGAACAGTTATCACTACGTAGTATAAAACAAAGTCGCTTTCTCTGTCCCTATATCTGTCTGTCCCCATGTATGCTTAAATCTTTAAAACTACGCAACGGATTTTTTGCGTTTTTTTTTAATAGATAGAGTGTTTGAAGAGAAAGGTTTATTATATGTATAATAACATCCATTAAATAGTGGAGAAATCAATAATATATTGAAAGTTTCCGAAGCGAAGCGAGGGCGGGTCGCTAGTTGTACAATAAATATGAAAGGACAATGCCCAAAAGTTGGCCAACTTCATGACAAAACTATTTGTACTTGAAAAACTATGCCTTATTTTTTCATGTTGTTTAGTTTATGTATCAACATTTCTTTCACCCTGGCATTGTTTTACAAAAAAATAAATTACTTATTTGATAACATCCCAAAACTGAGTGCCATAGTTTTTAAATTCGCCAATAGACAAATGGAAAATTAGCCCATAGTAAGCTTATAGTAAACCTATATGCTGACAAACGAAAGAGTTGTCTGTGACTTGAACAACAAATTAAAAAAATTGCTAATTGTTATAATTCACAGACATTTTAGTTTATTGTTGTTCAATTCAATATTTATGTATTGTAATAATAATTATTACTTAAAACCATGAATTATTTAATATTTTAGATATTAATGATTCCATTAGTAAAAATCTCAATGGCCTACCATTACTCTATTCTTATATATGATCAGAGAGTTTTGGCAGCAACCCGAGTGAAGCGTCACTTGAAGTTTTACTTTACTGTTTTTTTAATAGTTTATTGTGATGTATATTATATAAATTGGGTGTTGTTTTGTGTATTAAACGTCAATAATCGTTGTTCACGAATATTGAGGCATTGGAATAAAACTGTGGCTAACATAGCAGTGACTGTTTTTTTTTTTTTCAAGATAAAAGGTCTGCGGAAATTCACGCTCACTCAATGTGCTATTCATCAAGTTGACGTCAAAACTCCAAAAAGCAATAAAAAGAAATACACCGGATTTTTATTAACATAAAAAAAATATAAAAAATATAACTATGACAGACTAGGCTGTATAGGCTACGCTCTATGCCTGCTTGTTGGCGAATTTAAAAACAACAACAACAATATCGTTGCCAGCTTCCGGATTTCATTTCATTTTATTATTATTATGAGGATATAATAATAATAAAATGTACGTAAGGGCTTATTTCTAGCAACATTAACCACAATTAAATTATTTAATACTGTAAATAATGATGAGAGCGATTATTGATTTCGAAGAAAACAATTAACAACTTAATTTTAGCTGCAGAAAAAAACAGATTTCTCTTAAACCTGGGTGAGAATATAAAAATCGTTTTCTGAATATGAAACGATATTTCTTTGTCTATCAAATTAAGTTAAAATCATCATCACCCGACAACTTTTTTTAGGGGCCGAAACGCCCATAGAAAATGGGCATTGTCCTTTCCGTATCACGTCTCAAGATGGAGAAACTCTTTGATGTCTATGGGCTCCCGCAACTGAAACGTAAAATGAGTGAATGTGAGCGCGTTCACCCTTCCAAAATCAAGAAAAAAAATAAAGAAATCGATAAGGATCTTTTGGAATGTTTGTAAAGTTTTTATGAACACACGGACTCGTCAATTAAGTTAACTTGACCAAATTTTATTGTTCTTTGTGAATTTTTCTTTTTTTATTATTTAGCGGAAATAAATGCTCGCCCATCATGTCCTGAATTTTTAAATGATGTGCTCTCAAACGAACAGTAAAATTACGTAGTAAATTTGGCCTTTAAGTTGGCAATTCTTGTTCGTAAAGTTTTATTATCTTTGCGAAACTGCAATTCGTGTATGAAGAATTAACTGATACTAGAGGTCCCGCAGTAGTCAAAATTCGACTATAATTAATTGGAATTGTAAGTTTGTACACTATTATGATTGTATTTTATACTTCTATGATCACAAATTTCGCCAAGGCTACACTATAAAGAAATATTAATAAAGACAAACAATATGTTTAATCTATTCTCAATTTAACCACGGACGTCAAGAACAAAAGTTTGACAATAAATAGTATGCATGCGTGTGTGCGTCAAATAAACGGTATGTAGTGTGTGTAATGTTTTCTTTGTTGATTTAATGTATATTTTATGCATTATTTAAAAAAAAATAGCATTGCGCACTTCTTCTCTATATTCTCTATAAGTGTGGAAAATTTCATACTCCTCCGTCCGCGCAATTTTCGTAAAAAGGGATACAAAGTTTTTGCTTCACGTATTAATATATAGATAGTCAAATTCTCGTACATTCTAGAAGTTCTCCGAAGAAACTTGTCAGTATCGAAAAAAAGTATTAATTTCCAGCATCTTTAAGTTATTCGTGTACGGAACACACAGACTGCAAATGGATCTCGCACTTGTACCGGTTCTTTAATTACATTTTAAATGCCGAAACTGTGATTTTTTTCTCATCTGACGCAAAGTAGACTACGGAATTCATTATTACGAGCATTATTATTGATTGTATCATGGTTTCCCAACATTTATTGAATTGATTAAACAAAATAATAATACAATAATCGTCAAAATCGATTCACCTTGAAAGAGTTTTGAAGTGATACACTTTTGAAGTAATTCACTATCTAGGTATAAATATTTAGGTATTTATTTATTATTTTATTTATTTATTTTATTGCTTGGATGGGTGGACGAGCTCACGGCCCACCTGATCTTAAGTGGTTACCGGAGCCCATAGACATCTACATTGTAAATTCCGCCACCCACCTTGAGACATGAGTTGTAAGGTCTCACTTTTAACAGTACAACGGCTGCCCCACCCTTCAAACCGAAACGCATTACTGCTCCACGGCTGAAATAGGCAGGGTGGTGGTACCTACCCGTGCGGACTCACAAGAGGACCTACAGAACAATAATGAAAATCTTTCATAATTCTCATTTCAGATTCAACGATGCACACATCTTGCAAAATTATATTTATGTGGTTTCTTCTCTTTGTCAACGCCAATTGTTGCGACGCTAAAAACAGTGGCCACGTTAAAAATCGGGAAACAAAGAGCAATGGAAACAGAAGATCTTCGCGGTCGCTGCCTCAGCATTCGGTCGTAAATTTATTGATGCAATCCTTATCGCCAGATTACGTGCCCAGTAATCCGAGCGACATTTTTGATATACTGCGAGACCAATACAAATTGCCGAAGGGTGAGTAACGGGTTTCAAATGATCCGTCATCTGCTTTAATCTGGGCATCATTCGACGCCAGGACAGAGCTGGGGAACGCGAGGAGTGAAATTGGGTGATTTGTTTTATTTTGTCTATTTAGTGTTTCTTCAGGTTTAAATCTGTAATAACGGTGGTTTATTAACTGCTTAATATCTGTGAAAGTGCACAAATGTGGAAAAATGAAACAAAGCCGCTGGACGTAACTTCTCGGGTTCCTCCAAAAAGTCCACTGAAAAAATCTCCGAAAATGACCACCATTTTACTGAGATTATATTTCATCTAATTTCATTTAATTTCATCCCAGTTGATTAATGTCCCAAATTAATCATCTTCATTTCACTCCAAATTATCATTTTTCATAAAAATAAGAATATAAATGAAAATAAGATATGACTTAAAGGTCTTAGTTACCAAGTCATAAAATCCTATAAAAAAAAGGACGGAGCTCAGCCCTACTATGGTTGTTGCAAAGTACGACTGCGCGCCACCCTTTGTTGTGTGAGTGACCAATCTGTAGACGCGTCAATGTAGGCTATATGTAGATAATATAGCTACTGACCGCTCCGAAAATGTGTATTTACGATTACAACTACAAATGAAGCCGTCAGCACAAAAGTGGCCTATCCTACATTTTTTCATATTTGTGGTTCTACTATATTGCAATTTGTTTAAAACATAATAAACTTTGATGCAAAACCGGCCTATCCCTCGTTTCGCTCATAGATAACAGATGGCTTTGTCAACATTATTTTTGCGCGTTTTCTTTTTGCTTATGAGGCAGTGTGAAAGTAAACTAAAACGTCATTGTCTCCATATTTACTATAAGTAAGCTCAGGTAAGCTTAGGCCACTTTTGCGCTGACGGCCTCAAATAAAGACCACGCGTGCTCGTACTTTGCAACAACTATATCCACCTAAAATCACCTTCCTTCATTCCCATTTCGTTTCCAGAAATCATTTGTACTACATGCTATTTGGCTCTGAAATAAAATCCAAAATGGACAGTAGCTAAATACCATGCTCGAGCATATGGCCAATTTAATGGTTGCTTTAGAAGACCACTTCTAAAGTGATAGGTGCATACGTTCAATGTGCTAAATTACAGATGAAGTTGTTTTGTGATCACTCCTGTTATTTTTAATACTGCGAGAACTATTGTTACTTTCTGAAGATGCCAAAGATGCGCTATTACCTCTTTCGATTCTGTATATTTTGATAATTTTCCAGTCATTGTATTTTGTAGGTTTTGTGTTCCTAAATGCTTATGTCAATTAAAAAACCAGTTTTGTTACTCTTATTTACTTATCTTGCTAGTCGATTACAGTGAATTGCTCGGTCTGTCGAAACAGCTCTGTGATCATACAGTTTTATTGGAAAGTTTTCTTGTACAGCTTTAATGTTGTATTTATAATATGGTTTAAGAGTTTCTACTAGATTATACTTTTGCTTAAGGGTTTGTTATTTTGGGAACTCATTCAATTCTTTGTTTGTAATCAGTCTGAGCCATAGCTTTACACGCTACGGATATATTGTTGGTTAGATGGTTCTGGGCGGCTATTACATTTACAACAGGTGTCATTAAAAATAAATACTATATGCTTTCGTAAATATTAGCATTAAGTGCTGACTGAAACCCTGCATTATCTCAAAAAAATAATCGATAATTAATTTGTTCGGTAAATAATTGCATTTAACATTAAATCTAAAGCAAACATATTAAATGCGATAATGCTTAACCGCAATATAATAATAATTCTAATAACAATTTGAAAGAATTTTGATAGCAATAACGATTTTACTTCTTTAAACTAGCCTTCAAATGTTTTAAATAATTTCCGCGAAATCTATTTAGCATAAGTACGATTTTCTCCTCTCTTTAAAACAGTGTTTCTTGTTTGATAAATAGTTGGGAAAACCAATAAAGAAGAGAGAGAGAGAAGACAAACAAATATATGTAACCAAAGAAAATAGATAGTGATTTACATACGTGAATTAATTATCAATTTTGAGGCGTCAGTCTAGATAGTCGAATTTTAATCGATAAAATAATTACATTCCTATAATTAAACTTTACAATAGTATATAATTCTTTCCTAGATTACCGGTCCGGAGTACTTTTTTTTCTTACTTCTTTTTCTTTACATCTTGTTTTTTTTTTATTGCTTAGATGGGTGGACGAGCTCACAGCCCACCTGGTGTTAAGAGGTTACTATATAATATAGGCCTATAGACAGACAACGTAAATACGCCACACACCTTGAGATATAAGTTCTAAGGTCTCAAGTATAGTACAAGCCCCACGGCCCCTCCTCTTCCTCCTCCTTCAGTCGATCGTTCATTGCTGAGCATCGTGATGCGCCCTTTTTTTTTTTTTTTTTCGGGTAGAGGGCCGAACCTCCTGCGAGGTCCCCGCGCAAAAGGGGCGCGCGAGGTATGTGAGACTCAACGGTCTGCATGGTGTTGTGAGCAGACCGCGGGCCCAAGAATTTTAGGGCCCACCCACTAAACGACTCCCCTGCACTCTTACACCCGACGTCCGATCCCCTCCGAGGTCAGAACCCGGATGAGGTAGGGGGGCTACCGCGGTCAACACTACAACCAGACGGCGCGGCTCACAACCTGTGACCTTTTTTTGTAATTTATAGCGACGGTCGGTTTATGTCGGTCAGTGACACAGTGAAGTGCGTGGCTCAGTCTCGTGTCCAGATGCTCGGACACTTAGTCACTCCATCTTTTTCGGCTCCGACCTCTGGATCGTCTTCCATCCACTTTACCTGTCACTATAGTCTTTCGAGGTTGTCAGAGGGTTTTCTTGCTATATGACCAAAATATTGGAGCACTCGATTAACATAACTATAACTTTAACTATAACTGGGCCGTGGGGCCCAGCTGATGTTAAATGGTTATTGGAGTCCATAGAAATCATGGTATAAATGCTAATATCCTTATGTATATCAACTGTTATGTAGTGGTAGTAGTATTCATAAAAAGTAAGTAGTATTAACAGTTATGGACAGCCTTTACGTCCCACCCTCCAATCAGAAACGCTTCTTTTCGCTGCAAAATTAGGCGTAATTAGTCCGTAAAACGTTTTTTTTTCTTGAAGCATTTTTTTAAAGTAACTAAATTTAAAGGTTATTCTAGAATTTCGAAAACCTATCGTATTCATTGTGCTATATACACATTTTTAATATAAGCTACTTCTCATTTCAGGTCTCAATGCACCGTTGCCGGAATATGACTACATCATCGTGGGAGCAGGTTCGGCTGGATGTGTTCTCGCATCGAGATTGACCGAGGACCCGAAAGTGACAGTGCTTCTTCTGGAAGTAGGGAAGCCGGAAATGTTGTTGACAGACGTGCCGTCTGTGGCGCCATACTTTCAGAATACGGATTATGCATGGCCTTACTATATGGAGCCGCAGCCGGGGGTCTGTTTAGGTAAAGGTCTTTAAAATCTATTATTACTTTGAAGACAAACGTCTTCATTCATTAAGCTAGGATTTTCTTTTGTTTTTTTTACTGCTTAAGTTGGTGGACGAGCTCATAACCTACCTGGTGTTAAGTGGTTACTGGAGCCCATAGACATCTACAACGTAAATACGCCACACACCTTGAGATATAAGTTCTAAGGTCTCAGTATAGTTACAACGGCTACCCCCACCCTTCAAGCCGAAACGCATTACTGCTTCACGGCAGAAATAGGCGGGGCGGTGGTACCTACCCGTGCGGACTCACAACAGGTCCTACCACCAGTAATTACGCAAATTATAATTTTCCGAGTTTGATTTTTATTACACGATGCTATTCCTTCACCGTGGAAGTCAGTCGTAAACAATTGATAAGTACGTATTTCATTGGAAAAATTGGTACCCGCCTGCAGGATTCGAACACCGGTGCATCGCTATATACGAATGCACCAAATTCAATTCTGTATTATGATTTTATTGGAAACGCATATAGAGACGTGAAAGGCTATTTGAATGGGGTAAACTTAATTGAAGTTCAATTAAAAACATCGAATTGTTGATGCTAATACCAAATAAAACGACTAATAATAGCATATAAAACGGACCTTTAATTACAAAGATAAATGTCACGTATTAAGCGAAGTGTCGCATAAACAACCCCTCGATATTATAGTCGTTTAGCTAACAATATCGCGCAAGACTACGTTAAGTTTTCATTTATAGATTTCTAAATTCGGTGCATATTCTATCCTTCTTTACTTATAATTTATTACTTGTATTATGGATGGATGAACAAGACGACGGTCCGTCCGGTGTTAAATGATTAATGGGGCCCATAGACAACGCAATGTGAATGTTGCCCCTAAGTTAAGACCTAAAGTCAAAGTCTCAACTCAGTGTGGTGTCTACCACCAGTGCTGCATAACTCACAGACACAGCCTACTGAGTTTCTCATCGGATCTTCTCAGTGGGTCGCGTTTCCGATCCGGTGGTAAATTCTGCGAAGCACTGCTCTTGCTAGGGTCAGTGTTAGCAATTCTACGGTTTGAGCCCCGTGAGCTCACCTACACACGCTAGGGTAAGCTGAAATAGCCTCCCAAGGCTATCAGCATAGGTAGAGAAAAAAAAAAAAGCTGCATAGTCAGTGTCCACGGTCAGTCAAATGTCAGTTGTCGATCGCACTACGTTGTTATAAATACAAACAATCATTACCCGTTTCCAGATAAAGCCCTTATTTCCAAGCCATTATTCGATTTTACGACACTCAGTACTAGAGAACAATGTCCACCTCGTGTTAAGTGGTTATTGAAGCCCATAAAAAAATATTACGTAGATGCCGCCACCTACCTTGAGACATGAATTCTAAGTCTGTTTATTTTTTCTACCTAAGCTGGTAGCCTTAGAGGATTATGCCAGGGTATCCGAATGAGTAGGTGAGTTCATGGGGCTTTAACCTTACAACATTGCTAACACTAGCCCTATAAATAACAGTGCTCCGCAGAATCTACCACCGGATCAGGAGCTCGACCCACTGAGAAGATCTGGCGAGAATCTCAGTGCGCTGTGTTTGTGGGTTAAATAGAACGGTGACTGATGCTTGAGGTACCTAGAAGCGCCGATAGTGGATCGGGAGGATCCGAAATGACGTGTTTAGGTCGACATAGACTGTTTACCATTCGGTCCGCACGATCGGGGTCTCAGTTTACAGTACAACCCAAATATAGACATAGCGGTGGTACTTACCCGTGTGGGCTCACAAGATGCTCTACCACTAACAATGCTATTTCAGGAATGATAAATAAACGGTGCTATTGGCCGAGAGGCAGGGCGATCGGAGGTACCAGCGTTATCAACTACATGATATACACGAGGGGACGGCCCGAGGAGTGGGACAGGATCGAAGCTGCAGGAAACTATGGATGGTGTGTATTACATGCGACGGCGCCAGGGATAGCTGAGCAGTACCGTCAACCGTTCTTAGTTACTTTCTAATATAAGTCTTTTTAATGATAACTATCTCACTTTGTTCTCACTCTCTTAATAGATAATGCTCAAAACAACAGGGAGAAGCGACGGTATCATTCTGAATGATTTGATTATTGCGGTCGTTTTCCATTTCAATATTTATGTTAATTTTTACCTACCGTTCTTGATTGTGGGCAGATATGTTGTGTAGTGTTTTATTTTGGTAATTCTGAAGTGATACCGGTTTTTAGAATCCTTAGTATAATTTTATTTTCTAAATACCTTATCGTACTATGACCTCAAGTTGTGTGAAGTGATGGTGTTTTTGGACCATTTTTTGGAATAAACGGAACAACCTGTTCGAATAAGTAGATTTATAGCTGTCAGTGTCAGTAAATAGTAAAGGTATGCTTCATTGTATACCAAAAGAATGTAAATTTCGAATCCTAGCTGAGTGTTTCGTGAGTGGTCGTTTTCAATTTTGCGGCCAAAAAAGTAACGATTTCATGAATTTTCATTTTTTTTTTATTTAGGCGTGTTCTGAATAAAAAATGCTTCATCACAATCAAGTCAATCACTCATTTATTGATAATATTATATAATATTAATTTATATTTTTCATTTTACGCATAACACTTTTCTGGGGATACTGGGCGGGGTATGTCAGAGTCGAACTGACTAAAGCCTCCTGTCGCTCTACAACCAACGTACAAACCTCGCATGAGACAGAACTCATGACAAGGCAAAGGGGGGAAAGTGAAGCGTTTAGTGCGGAGCACATCTCACCCATCAACCTCCCCCTCTGACAATTTAGATAGGAACTTTTTTTTAAAGTTTAGAAATCTTCTTTTGTTTTTGATAATGTTCTAATAACCAGTTACTTTGCCATTATTATTGTATTATATACTGATTAAATAAAATTGCTGAATTTCAACACGCCTTATTGGAAAAATAGCAAACAAGTTAGAATTTGAATTTCGAACCAGTGATACGAATGAGATTTGGGGTAGTTTTTAATGTGTAACTCCTAATTTAACAATGTTTACGAATATATAGTTATAGGACCACGTGCCTGTTTTCATGATAACAAATTTACTGTACTTATAATTACGGTAACATTAAGATTATGAGAATTAAATCAAATAACTCGCTTTTGGTCCCAAATTTGAAAACGACCCGTTGAGTTACCCTCTCCGCTTTTTTTTTAAATCTAGACAAAAATAAGGTCTCATCCTTTCAATAACAATCAAAATAAGGTCTTGAAATTACAGTGTTCTTTCCTCACGACAAATGCCCTCCTTTTATACTGGCTTTACGGAGTTTACAATGTATCAATATTACTACAATTGTTTTAAATAAGAAAATAAAATTTACATTTTCCATTCGATCCATCGCAATCTATTGATATAAGTGTACCTAATCAAACAAGTCCACGATTCTCGAAAAACAAAAACACTGTGCAATATCATTTAATAATTATTATACTTCAATAATAACATTACGAAATGAATAGATCATTAGTACTAAATCATAATAGCTGCAGTCGATCTGTCCGCAAAATCAAACAAAGAAATAATAGTCATTCAAATAATAAAATAATTATAATATTTTTTTTTTCATTTTTTTTTTATTGCTTAGATTGGTGGAAGAGCTCACAGCCCACCTGGTGTTAAGTGGTTACTGGAGCCCATAGACATCCACAACGTGCGCCACCCACCTTGAGATATATAAGTTCTAAGGTCTCAAGTAAGTTACAACGGCTGCCCCACCCTTCAAACCGAAACGCATTACTGCTTCACGGCAGAAATAGGCAGGGTGATGGTACCCACCCGTGCGGACTCACTAGAGGTCCTACCACCAGTAATTACGCCAATTATAATTTTTGCGGGTTTGATTTTTATTACACGATGTTATTCCTTCACCGTGGAAATCAATCGTGAACATTTGTTGAGTACGTATTTCATTACAAAAATTGGTACCCGCCTGAGATTCGAACACCGGGTGCATCGCTCAACACGAATGCACCGGATCTCTTATCCCTTAGGCCACGACGACTTCAAAAACGACTTAAAATAATTTATAAAATTTTCAGGTCGTACAAAGACGTTTTGCCTTATTATATGAAATCAGAAAGAGCCCAATTGGACGGCTTGGAGAACACCCCATACAGAAGCAAGGATGGCGAAATGAACGTAGAATTTGTGAAGTTCAGGTTAAATCTGTGTGCATTCTTGCATCTTGTACATTCTTAATACGACTTTTTTTTTTATTATTATTTATATGCTATAACCATTTTCTAGTTTAACTAATTTTGATCCTTCTTTTTTATTTATGTAGAAGCTGGCTCTTCTGCGCAGTATTTTGTTGTAGGCTCAGAATGTCTATGAAAATATATACTAAAGTCTATCAATCTTAAAAGATACGAGTTTTGTTCTCTAGGAAAGTTTTTTTTTACAATTTTAATTTAAACTCATGTAGTAAAAACGATAGGGCTTGTGCCACCTCTCGCAGCCACTAGTTTTGGCCCTTTTTATTTATTGCATAGATGGGTGGACGGGCTCAGAGCCCACCTAGTGTTAAGTGATTACCAGAGCCCATAGACATCTACAACGTAAATGCGGCGCCCACCTTGAGATATAAGTTCTAAGGTCTCAAGTATAATTTCAACGTCCGCCTCACCCTTCAAACCGAAACGCATTACGCTTCACGGCAGAAGTAGGCAGAGTGGTGGTACTTACCTCACAAGAGGTCCTACCACCAGTGCCTTAGAGCAAATACGCGCATATCTGTAGATGGTATGAAAAAATGGTACTGATCTGTTTTGTTTTTCCCTATCTATATACATAAAACATCATGTTATGATACATTAGGACAAGTTTCTGTTTTCAGTTTAAACAATAAACCACCCTGTTGCTGATGGTATCTGAATGTATATACATACATATCTCTAATTCCAAGAAGTATTGTAAATACACATTTTTTTTAAATTTCAGAACGCCACTCATAAACGCATTTTTAGAAGCTGGGAGAATACTGGGTCATCCAACTATAGACTACAACAGCCCAGAAGAACTCGGATTCGGATATGTCCAAACAACCACACTAACGGGAAGAAGAGTTAGCTCAGCGAAAGCATTTCTTCACCCAAACAAAAAGCGAAATAATCTCCACGTCATGCCGATGACGACTGCAACCAAAGTTTTAATAGACGAAGCCGCAACTGCCTATGGAGTCGAATACGTACGTAATCGTCTCAAATCACGGGTCAAAGCGAGACGAGAGATAATTCTGAGCGCTGGTCCAATAGCTTCACCTCAACTATTAATGCTTTCCGGAATAGGCCCGAAGGATCAACTCCGCCGTAATGGAATCCCTCTTATTGCTGACCTTCAAGTAGGTCAAACCCTTTACGATCACATTACGTTTCCCGGTTTAATATTTAAGCTCAACGTCACGAACGTGAGTGTCAATGAAAACAGGGACGCAACTCTTAAGAATGTATTGGAGTGGATCCAATATGGCGACAATGTAGTCGCATCGCCGGGTGGCGTTGAGGGTATTGGTTACATCAAAACTCCTGTTTCCGATACCCCTCTGCCGATCCCGGATATCGAATTAATTAGTATCGGAGGATCTTTGGTTTCCGACGGTGGCTCGACCGGAAGCAAAGCAGTTCGAAGAGGAATGAGAATTAGGGATCACGTCTTTAATAAAGCTTACGGGTCTATAGATAGCACGGATACGTGGAGTGCATTCCCGATGCTGCTACATCCAAAATCCGTCGGATATTTAGAACTCAAAGACAGTAATCCGTTTAGCCATCCAAGGATGTACGGGAATTATTTAACGGACCCAAAAGACGTTGCCACCTTTGTTGCCTCGATACGACACATCCAAGCTTTGGCTGCAACTCCGCCGTTCCAAAAATTTGGAGCTAAACTACATAGAGCAGAATATCCAGACTGTAAAGATTTACAGTTTGATTCCGATGAATATTGGGAATGCGCTGTACGGACACTGACGGCTACCTTACATCATCAGATCGCTACGTGTCGGATGGGCCCTGAAGAGGATCCTATGGCCGTAGTGGATCCAGAACTCCGAGTTTATGGCGTCAAAAATCTACGTGTTGTAGATTCTAGTGTTATACCTAATACTGTTTCCGTTCACACCCACGCGCCAGCTGTTATGATAGGAGAAAAAGCTGCGGACATGATCAAAGCAAGTTGGAGGTAGCATCGTAAGTAAGATATGATAGTCATCCAAAGAGATTTATTATAAGTTAAATACAAGTAATTAAATCAAATGTTGTATTATTTTAACAGTCTCTAGTTATATCAACGGTCATATGCAAACTCGCTTTTGGAAAACACAGACCCCCTTAATTTTGACGATATCTTTAAATTAACATCACAAAGCTCTTATCTATTAATTAATCTATTTCAAATATTTCTTCATAACATATAATTAGTAAAATTCTTCAATGGCTTTATTGGTTTTGACCACATTTGAGTAGTTCGCGTCAGGCAAAAAGTCTCGCGGCATTAAGTTGAACTAATAAAATTAAGACAAGCCATGTTATTGTTGTTAGGTATTTTTCTTGTGTTCGGACGTCATAGTGATTTTTTTTTTATTTACCGAAAAATAATAATAATGATAACTATGGAAATCGTCTACAATAATAGACGTGTCAACATTTGCAAAATCAAAAATTATTTGAAATTAATCTAAATTTTACAAATACTTATGAAATAATACATACTACCAATTAACTAAAAAAAAACAACAAAAATTATAGCCAATAATGAAAATGCTTGTCTACTGTCTTTAAGCTACTTCCATTCGTCCTGAGAATCAAAATCCAAAATCACTTTTTAACAATGATAACTTATTACCTACTCAGAATCGTTGAAGGCAGGGTCTCGTAGATTTACTACTCATTGACATGACCATTAGTCAACAGATTCAGCGAGTCAAGAGGAATGCTCATATGGCTTGAATTGATTAGAGAAGAAAGCCTAAGACTGTGCCGCATACATGACTAATGAGAGTTTTAGATGTATGTAATGAGTGTGAAGGTAGCCATCATACAACGCAAAATATTTGACAGATGCCTGAATCTCGCTTACGACATTTCAAGATAAGCTTGCATATATACAAGTTCCAAACAATAAGTTTCAAACCGTCGGTCTACCGAGCAATATCACCCACTCAGTGGAAGAAATTCCCTTTATCGTTAAACATCCCACAAGAGTATTTAAAATAAATTCCATAATACGCTCCTTTCTTAGCTCATGCATGGGTCAATGTTGCATGTTTTTTAGTCAACTAGGTCAAATGACTTTTCCTGATACCCCGAATATAAGGATAATAAGGATCAAGCAGAATATCTTTCAGGGCGCCAGTCTGAGTCCATTGTGATTTTTTAGCGTTTAATCAATTAAAGATTCAACGCTGGGCTTACCGACTTGGAAGAGGGGTTGAGGCTATATCAAATCTCTTGTTGATGGATGGCCTCAAATTATTTCCTACCAAAAAACGAGACTTGATGACATTACTTAAAATAATCTACAATTTTAGTAAAGTCGTTGGGATTGAAAAATGCGCGTTCATAGATGTACAGAGAGGTAAGGTTGTAAACTCGACTTACTGAACCATAGTGTCTGGTCTCATCATAGTGGTGGTCTTTAAATTTCTCAGTGAATGTGAGACCTACAAGTACGTTGGTATATTCGAAGCTCTAAATATTGTGCATCCAGACATGAAGCAATCATTTAGAGATCGGTTTTTCGGATACCTTCTAAGGTTGTTAAAAGCTAGATACAATTTATTATGTTATGAGTATCAATGTACTAAAAGTTAAAGAATTAAATAAAAAAATGAATTACATTTTGAAATTTTATGAAATAACTCCCAGATAAATCAGTCGAGGTTAGCAACATTCCATCGTATGACCATACCGCCGAGTCTGCGACATTTCTTTTGTGAAACGCACTCTAAATAACTGACAACTTTACTTGCAATAACGTCATAGTTAGCATTTCCTTCCTGTAATATACAAAAACATTGGTATGTATTGGAAGCCCGCACAGGTCAGCATTACCATCTTGATTATTTTTGCCGCGAAACATTAACAGGTTGTGGCGTTGTCCAACAAAAATTAAATTGATCTTTTCTTTAAATGGTAAAAAAGTTTCATAATCAAATATCATCGCAACATACACATTGAATGTGAAAACATCTCGAACATCGATTTGCCTTGTCTTGTCTTTTTTTCATACTCATTTTGTATTTATTTATCAGGAACATTTATTATATTTTATATTACGAGTATAAGGAATTCATATTTATTATTTTATTATTATCCTTCAAGAAGAAAAAAAATATAATAATGTTTTGTTTATCAAGATCCATCACTTCATACACACAAGAGCCATAAAAATGACATAGCGGATCCTTCCGATACATTTACGGTGCTTCTAGGTACTCCCAGCACCCGTCACCTTAGCCCACAGACACAGCCCATAGATTTCTCGCCAGATCTTCTCAGTGGGTCGCGATTCCAATCCGGTAGTAGATTCATTGCTCTTGCTAGCGCTAGTATTAGCAAGTCCTCCCAGATTGAGCCCCGCGAGCTATCCTATCAGTCCGCGCGTAGTTGTACTAGCCACTAGGCTACCAACGATTAGGTAGCGGAAAAAATTAACGAACATCCGAGGCGTCCCCTACCAATTTAGGGACTAGATTTTTACTGGTGGTAGGACCTCTTGTGAGTCCGTTCGGGTAGGTACCACCACCCTGCCTATTTCTGCCGTGAAGCAGTAATGCGTTTCGGTTTGAAGGGTGGGGCAGCCGTTGTAACTATACGTAAGACCTTAGAAATTATATCTCAAGGTGGGTGGCGCATTTACGTTGTGGATGTCTATGGGCTCCAGTAACCACTTAAAACCAGGTGGGCTGTGAGCTCGTCCACCCATCTAAGCAATAAATAAAAAAATGGTTATGGTCTTTAACTTCATCCGTTTTGTCCCAGATGACCAAGCCGAAGATGATCTCATCATTATTGATTAAAACAATTTTTTTCGATCACATTAGTGAGACTTAAAACTCAAGTCTCACGGTAGATAACCCCATTTACATTGTTGATGCGTATAGGTCCCTGTAACCACTTAACACCAGGTGGGCTCGTTTACCCATCTTAGTAATTAATAAAAACATTGTGAATGATATATCCTCTTGTTTTTTTTTGTTTTGTAACAAAGATTGACTTGAGATACCTTCGGTTCATAATTCTATTACGGATCACTGTGTATTCAGACTTCGTTAGATCAACACGGGTCTGACAGGTAGTAAAAAATGTTACTGAATTATATTTCATTTTTAAGTGTTTTAATTAGCACTACAGCGTTTCATGACTACGAGTATGGCGATGATTACGAACACGATAGTGATCAATTTCGTGAACAGGGTAGATCGTATCCACAGAGTCCGATCATTGACGCAGTTTTGAAATCATACGCTCCTAATTACGTGCCGAAAAATTCTGAAGACATTTTTGATTTTTTGAGAGATTCATACCCACTGCCCGCAGGTATGTAGTTTTTGTTTGAATCTGATCAGTATTTTAATTGACATATTATATATTCTTATTCTATGTATTCATTATTAAGATATACCGTAAGAATACTCAAGTAAATTATATTCTGCGATGAACGATAGTAGTACCTGTTTTTACCGACAAATCGTAAAAGTTGTTTCAAGAATAATCACATCCTGACTTAAAGCTGTCTTTTACATCGTTTTTAGGTATCTTCTGTTATTAATGCGAAATATTTTAGTTTGGTGAAAAAAGCGTGGGGTGCGGGATATCAGTAGTTATATTTTATGAACAGATATGAGTAGAAAGGGTTATTTTGATAATATCCTGAAAAGCACCCCACGCTCTTTTTACAATAAAATCATTTTTTCTTACACTATTTTTAATTGAAATTCATTAAAATTTATTTTCTATTTTTTAGTTGGATTTTCTATAAAAGCGTATTTTGTTAGTTTTTTTAAACTATTATTCATTTTACATAATTTGTATGTGCGACAAATTGTCAATTCAAAGGTCAGTTCAGAAATATTTCACTTCCCCAATTCGAAATCGTGATGTCGCGTCTAAAATTGATTTTATATTGACTAGAATTACATTTTTTTTTAATTATTGCTTAGGTGGGTGGACGAGCTCACAGCCCACCTGGTGTTTAGTGATTACTGGAACCCATAGACTTCTACGACGTAATAGCGCCACCCACCTTGAGATATAAGATCTAAGGTCTCAAGTTCATAGTTACAACGCCTGCCTTCAAACCGAAACGCATTACTGCTTCACGGCAGAAATAGGCGGGGTGGTGGTACCTACCCGTGCGGACTCACAAAAGGTCCTACCACCAGTAATTACGCAAATTATAATTTTGCGGGTTTGATTTTTATTACACTATGTACACGTACATGATGTACACGATGTGAATTATCATGAGTACATACAACATAAATATATTTATATACATGTACTGAACCTACATATTTTTTTCCCTACCTAAGCTGGTAGCCTTGAGAGGTTATTCCAGCGTAACCTTAACTAGTAGGTGAGCTCACGGGGCTCAAACCTGACGACGTTGCTAACACAAACCCTAGCAAGAGCCGTGCTTCGCAGAATCTACCACCGGATCGGAAACGCGACCCACTGAGAAGATCCGGCGAGAAACTCAGTGGGCTGTGTCTGAGAGTTAATTTACTCGTCGAGCCCTTCGTCACAAGCGACGGGTTCGACGAGAACGGTGACCGGTGCTTGAAGTACCTAGAAGCACCGTCAATGGATCGGGAGGATCCGAGATGACGTGTTTTGGGCGACGTCGACTGCTTTCCATTCCTTCCGCAGGATCGGGAATGACCTACATGTAATAAAATGACTACTAAAATGAATTAACAATGTATCAAAATGTATACCTGTTAAAAAAGTACAACAAAACAGACTAAACCTCTACACCCGAGGTCGTCAACCTTAAGTTCAAATAACTAAAAGCGAAGTTATTATTAAAAACGGACCTCAAGGTCGTCTACCTTAATTTAACTTAAAGGTTGAATAATTTAATATATATAAAAGTATACAAACAAACATATTTTTTAAATATTTGTTTTTTGTGAAATTACATTACGTTTTTCAATAGAATTTTTTTTTTAAACACTTAATATATTTTCTATACTGATCCCAAAATATAAAATTGAATGACAGCAAACACTTCACATTATGTTCAAAAATCCTTTAATTTCAACTTTTTTAATTACAAACTTAAAATCAAGCTCCACGAGCTATCCTTAGTAGGAATAAAGATATCAACATCGTACAAAGTAAATTCTTATTTTTTTCAGGTCTTCAGAGTCCCTATGATGAATATGACTTCATTATCGTAGGGGCGGGCTCAGCAGGCTCTGTTTTAGCTTCTAGACTAACAGAAGATAAGAACACCACGGTCTTGCTTATAGAGGCCGGGAAGCCAGAAATGATATTAACTGACATTCCAATTATGGCACCATATTTTCAATCAACAGAATATGCCTGGCAGTACTATATGGAACCCCAACCTGGAGTTTGTACGGGTAAGTGAAGTTGATTGTAAGTCACGTAAGTAATTTGCCGTGCTGAATTTTAAAATTCAACCGAACCCAGCTTAATAACGAGTCTTTACTTTATACCTCATTTGATTTTTTTAATTTTTATTACCTACCAGTTAAGCTACATTTTCATGTAAAAACTCTCCATAAATATTTAGTGTGCTTTTTAGTTCGAATAGCTAAAAAATCGCGTTTTTATTATTATTTTGGATTTGGATGGTATCAATATTAGAAGGGCAGAAGTACCTTCTTGGCGACAAATTTAAACGTTTTTTTAAAAGCTATTGAAATTCAATCGAAGCGAGCTTCATCGCGAGTTGGGTCGTTTGGGGTTTGGAGCCCAAACAGTCAACTAGCTGCTTGTGACTTACCAACAAACTGTTTTCTGTTTTTTTTTATTATTATTATTCACAACCAGTTAAGCTTCATTTCCATCTAAAAACTCTCCATAAGTATATAGTGTACTTTTTAGTTCGACCAGCTAAAAAAGTCGCGTTTTTTATATTGTATTTGAACGGTACATATATTAGATGGACAGAATTAACTTATTGGCAACAAAATTACGGTTTTTTTTTGGTTTTTTTTTTTTCATGTAGTTATCATTATCGATGTCCATGGACGACGTTGATCAGTCACCAACAGGTACGCCATGGTCATCGGTCTTGGGTGGGTAAAAGTTTTTTCGAACCATTTGTATTACGAGCTTACAGACTTTGCATACATACAACCGTTTTAAATCCCAGAGTTTGTGGCAAATATAAAATACTATACACCTACGAGCCGGTTGAAGTTCTAAATAAATTTTAAAATAAATAAATTTCAGAGAATAAATAAAAATAGTCTGTTAGATTAATTTAACATAACTTTCGGATGTACATAGGCTGCACTAAAAGTATCGGGAATGGAATATTTCCACTGTTCCTGTCATATTAAAATCTTTTTAATTGAAAACTCCTTGGTTTTTAAAATCGAATACCATTTATTTATTTAAAAAAAGATTCTCTGTCTTGTCACGAGGTTTTGTCAAACTTGTTTAGTCGTTGAGAAAATGGAATTGACTCGAGAAAATTCAAGAGCGATGATTTATTATGACTTTCGAAGTGGTTTAACACAAAAATAGTGTGTTGACCGGATGATTTCTGCATTTGGTGATGAAGCCCCATCCAAAATCACAATTTATCGCTGGTTTGCTAAGTTTCAACGTGGACGTGTCAAGCTCAGTGATGATCCCCGTCAAGGTCGTCCAAAAACTGCAGTCACCCAAGAAAACGTTGATGCTGTGCGTAAGCTGATTGAGGAAGATCGGCATGTGACATACCGCGAAATTCAGACAACTTTAGACATTGGCATGAGTCAAATACAAATAATCTTGCATGAACAATTAGGTGTAAAAAAGTTGTTTTCCCGATGGATACCGCATTCGCTCTGTGAAGAGCAAAAAGCGGCTCGCGTTACTTGGTGGGTCAGAACTCTCGAAAGATTCCACGCAGGATCCTCAAATGCTGTATACAACATTGTATCAGGTGACGAATCCTGGATATACGTGTACGAACCCGAAACAAAAAACCAGTCACGAATTTGGGTGTTCGAAAATGAGTTAAAGCCAACAAAAATTGTTCGTTCACGGAGTGTTGCAAAAAAAATGGTGGCCACGTTTGTCTCCAACACCGGCCATGTTACGACTATTCCTCTTGAGGGACAAAGAACGGTTAATGCAGAATGGTATGCTAGCATTTGTTTGCCACAGGTCGCTTCTGAACTCCGTAAAGAGAACTGCAACCGCCGCATCATCCTCCATCACGACAATGCGAGTTCTCACACCGCGCACAGAACAAAAGAGTTTTTAGAGCAAGAAAACATAGAATTATTAGACCATCCGCCGTACAGCCCCGACCTAAGCCCTAATGATTNAAAAGCGGCTCGCGTTACTTGGTGCGTCAGAACTCTCGAAAGATTCCACGCAGGATCCTCAAATGCTGTATACAACATTGTATCAGGTGACGAATCCTGGATATACGTGTACGAACCCGAAACAAAAAACCAGTCACGAGTTTGGGTGTTCGAAAATGAGTTAAAGCCAACAAAAATTGTTCGTTCACGGAGTGTTGCAAAAAAAATGGTGGCCACGTTTGTCTCCAACACCGGCCATGTTACGACTATTCCTCTTGAGGGACAAAGAACGGTTAATGCAGAATGGTATGCTAGCATTTGTTTGCCACAGTCGCTTCTGAACTCCGTAAAGAGAACTGCAACCGCCGCATCATCCTCCATCACGACAATGCGAGTTCTCACACCGCGCACAGAACAAAAGAGTTTTTAGAGCAAGAAAACATAGAATTATTAGACCATCCGCCGTACAGCCTCGACCCTAATGATTTCTATAATTTCCCTAAAATAAAGAATAAATTGCGTGGACAGAGATTTTCATCACCTGAAGAAGCTGTGGACGCCTACAAAACGGCCATTTTGAAGACTCCAACTTCCGAATGGAATGGTTGCTTCAATGATTGGTTCCATCGTATGGAAAAATGTGTCAAATTTCGCGGAGAATACTTCGAAAAGCAATAAATACATTTTTAAATAGTAATGTTGTGTCACTTGGTTAATTCCCGAAATTTTCAGTGCCGCCCTCGTACAGCGCTCATGATCTCCTTTATTATCATAACTTCTACCTTACCTTAACTTATTACCTGTGCTTATTACCTTAACATAAGCCCTATCATCTGTTCTAGTATTTGCTTGTCAAACTTCCTATAATTTTTTTATGGGCCGAAGCTTTACTTTCTTTGTAGATTTGGCAGTTCGTTTCGTAAGTAAATGAAAGTAATGCATGAATATATCGTTCGAGATTCAACGGCCTAATGCTAAAATTGTCCCCACTATTATACCAAAAACTCGACAAGACAAGAATAAGTGTTACAATAATCACGGTTTGCCAAAGGACGGGCGATATTTTAACATTGTAAATGGCATGAGCGAGATATGCATATAAAATAGTTTTTTATCGTAAGTACTTTATTGCATTCTCAGGCATGATCAACGGTCGTTGTTTTTGGCCGCGCGGGAAGGCTGTCGGGGGTAGCAGCGTCATCAACTACATGATATACACGCGTGGTAGACCACAAGAATGGGACAGAATCGCGGCTGCGGGGAATTATGGATGGTTTGAAAATTATTTTATTTGTATCTCCAAATGATTGTAAAGTTCATATTCTTTTTATTTAGAGACTAGCTGACCCGGCAGACTTCGTAGTGTCTCAATCGATAAATAAAAGACCTAAACTTTTGTATAAAATAGACTTAAAACAAACAAAAGGAATCCGTCCGACGGGGGACACATAAAAGGGAAAACAAAATTGTGATTTTTATTTAATTTCGAGCATTATTATATTTATCTACCTTTTAAACCTTCTCTAGACTTCCACAAATAATTTAAGACCAAAATTAGCCAAATCGGTCCAGCCGTTCTCGAGTTTTAGCGAGACTAACGAACAGCAATTCATTTTTATATAGATAGATAGATATATTATACAGAAAATTATGCAGAGGTCGAATATAATTCTGCATAAAAACACACTGTTGCATTTTTGAGACGTGCTCTAAAAACTTCGATCATAAAACTGGTCTTATTATTATTATTTGCTTTTTTGAAATGTTAAGTTTTGAAACCTGTTTATCTTGAATGTCAAATCAAATCAAATCAAATCAAAAAATTTTTATTCAACATAAATGAAAGTAGTACATACTTGTTGAACGTCAAAAAATGCTTAATTATATTTCAGATTTATGTTCCTATTTTTATTCTGATGCATCTATGGTCTAATATATAATAGATGCTCGGTAGACCCACTCTTATCGAGTGATAGGCTCTGCCGTGATTCAGGTTGTGGGAGACCAACCTTTTTTTCTACCTTAAATTCAAACCTGTAAGGTTTTAAAAAAAAATACGGTTTCACAACGTGAATCACTGCCCTGCCTATTTCTGCCTAAAATTATTTATCTGTTTCGGGTAAAAGTAAACGTAAAGGGTAGGTAAAGCAACGATAGATATGTAGAACTATAATACAATTGAAAGTTTGAGATTTATTTCAAAGTGGTAGTACAGTAGGATATGGGTAACTTCTCAATTTTCTTATGGAGTAAACTAAAAATTTATTAAAAAGTCATTATTTTACAGGTCCTATAGCGATGTTTTGGAATACTACAAAAAAGGCGAGAGAGCTAATCTAAACGGCTATGAAAAAGATCCAACGAGAAATCGCAACGGAGAAATGCCCGTTGAATTTGCACGATACAGGTAGGATATTGGGTTTACATGATATTTAAATAACATTTCTTAAATATTATCGAATGCGACAGCATTTTTAATGGCCAAACCACAATAGCAATACGACTGGTAACTACCATTCATTTTTTGGGTCAATTATTTACTCTAAGTTTATATTTTTATGCTTTATTAAGATAATTTCTGTCTGGCTGTTATGTATTTGTTTAAACTCCTTACTTACACTTAATTTCTTGCCTTGCATTTTTGTCTTCTTGGTCCAAATTGTATTGTTTATTAATGTGTTTCAACTAACTTCGGGATAAGATCAAACAAATGTTAAAACGGATTAACATACATTAAACCAAGTAATTCGCACAAAAATTATTTATTTCAATGTTAACAAAAAAAATTTACTTGGTTTTTAATACGAACTTAAATTATATGATAAAAATCTTCATAAAACATTGTGCAGATGTAATAAAATTATGCAACTTATTTAATGATGCATCATTGAAGTACAGCCTCGGATATTTCGTTTAAAAATCGCAGCAGTGCTGAATTCAACCCTAATACAGAGCCACTGGGTTCATCGAGTTCGTTTCATGACACCTTAGAAAGGACTTCGCTCTTGTTCTTGTGCGTACATTTTTCAAGTCCTTGAGGGTCACGGAACGAAACTGCTACCGTCGTTTTTAGTAAACAAACAAAACTTTTCAAATCTAATTTTCAACATGATATGTTATCACGTTTAAAAAACTTAAATTTGTGATCGAAAATCCTTGTAGTTTCAGTTTGTCTCTTACGAGGATATCTGTTAATATCACATTTATAGTAATTTATATACTCTTTTGAGGGCGAATGGCTTCAATTGACCAGCAACTTGTTTTTTTACATTTCAGAACCAAACTTATCGAAGCATTTTTGGAAGCGGGCAGAATCCTTGGACATCCAACAATCGATTATAATTCACCGCACCAATTAGGATTCGGTTATGTGCAAACTACAATAACCAAAGGACACCGACAAACTGCTGCGAAAGTATTTCTGCATAGACAGAAAACACGGCAAAACTTACACATCTTGCCGGACACATACGTCACTAAAATACTGATAAATCCTCAAACTAAAACCGCTTACGGAGTCGAATACGTACGCAACCGATTAAAACATAGTGTACTAGCACGTAAAGAAGTAATTCTATCTGCTGGTCCCATAGCATCCCCCCAGCTACTTATGTTATCCGGCGTGGGCCCCAAAGAACATTTAACTTCAATGGGTATACCAGTTCTCAAAGATCTGCCAGTTGGAAAAACGCTTTACGATCATATTTCTTTCCCCGCTCTTATATTCGAACTCAACACAACCGACGTCAGTTTGAACGAAAACAAGATGCTAAATGCTAAATCTGCAATTGAGTGGATTAAAAATGGTGACAATGTTATGTCATCTCCAGGGGGCGTGGAAGGAATTGGTTATATCAAAACTCCGGTCTCTAACGATCTGGATCCTATACCAGACATCGAACTGCTCAGCATTGGGGGATCTATACTTGTCGATGGTGGGCCTGGAGGTAGCAAAGCGGTAAGAAAAGGAATGAGAATTAGGGATGCAGTTATAGATGAGGCTTTTGGATCAATAGACAGAATCTCTAAAGATACATGGAGTGCTTTTCCCATGTTACTACACCCAGTTTCCTTTGGAAGAATCGAACTTAAGAATAAAAATCCATTTAGTCACCCACGGATGTATGGAAATTATTTAACTCACCCAAAAGACGTGGCAACCTTCATAGCTGCAATACGTCATGTACAGGCTTTAGTTGCTACACCGCCTTTTCAGAAACTTGGTGCAAAAATACATAAAGCTCCCTACCCAACTTGCCGTGACATACCGTTTGACTCAGATGAGTACTGGGAATGCGCTATTCGCACCCTCACTGCTACTTTGCACCACCAGATTGCGACATGTCGAATGGGACCAAACAATGATTCATTAGCAGTTGTAGACCCAGAACTAAGAGTATATGGGATCGAAAAACTGCGGGTCGTAGATTCAGGAGTCATACCACGAACTATATCTGCTCATACAAATGCACCCGCGATGATGATCGCCGAAAAAGCTGCTGATATGATCAAGGCTACATGGACACATCCTTGACATGTTTAAACTCTATCTTTTTTTTATTTAAGTAATAATTATGTGGTATATTTTTTTTTATTGCTTAGATGGGTGGACGAGCTCACAGCCCACCTGGTGTTAAGTAGTTACTGGAGCCCATGGACATCTACAACGCAAATGCGCCACCCACCTTGAGATATAAGTTCTAAGATCTCAGTATAGTTACAACGGATGCCCCACCCTTCAAACCGAAACGCATTACTGCTTCACGGCAGAAATAGGCAGGGCGGTGGTACCTACCCGCGCGGACTCACAAGAGGTCCTACCACCAGTAATTACGCAAATTATAATTTATAATGTATAATAAATGCTCTGTATTTTAATAAGTATTTTATTTAATTATAATTAATTATGTCTGACGACAGTGATGAAAGTGATTCCTTTAAAGAGACAACTAAAGAACTACGTATAGAACCTTCTTACATATTAATATTGATAATTATTACTTCTAAGCGAAGACCAGATTTTTTTTTTATTGTGTAAAAATACCACAGTTAGAGGTTAAAGTTTTAAGTGTGAATTATCATGCACGTTTTGCAGGATAATGGAATTTAACATTTATATAAATATTTATTATAATCAACCGCAACGTCATAATTCGGTGGTATGTGGCTATGAAAAATTATCAAACAAAAGCCACATTAAGAAGAAGCAAGAAGTTATGTTAAATTACGTAGTCGAGTTTATGATTTTTGTATTTCCAACTTAAATTTGATTGTTTTAAACTTTTTTTAGATTATAAGTATTAAATAAAATATACAAAAATCAAGTATTTTTGTAGTAAAGGATCGTTTTTAACAGAGTTTGGTACTGTTATTTTGCTGGGGAACACATTCGTAATAGGTTAGTATGCGTATTTATCTTATCAACCAATGTCACGGCCTGAAGTATAAAACGCCCGGTGCATTCGTATCCACCGATGCAACTGTGCCGGTGTTCAAATCGCGAAGCCAGGTACTATTTTTTCTAATGACATACGTACTTAACAAATGTTCAAGACTGACTTCCATGGTGGTACGACCGTGAGTCCGCGCGGGTAGGTACCACCGCCCTGCCTATTTCTGCCGTGAAGCAGTAATGCGTTTCGGTCTGAATGGTAGGGCAGCCGTCGTAACTATACTGAGATCTTAAAACTTATATCTCAAGGTGGGTGGCGCATTTACGTTGTAGATGTATATGGGCTCCAGTAACCACTTAACACCAGGTGGGCTGTGAACTCGTCCACCCATCTAAGCATTAAAAAAAAAACATCGTGTAATATGAATCAGACCCGCAAAATTACAATCTCCGTATTTACTGGAGGTCTTGTGAGTCCTCACGGGCAGTAACAACCAGGAGTATTGCATCTAGTCGTGCAGGGTCACAATACGCTCGTAAATACTAATAATACTAAAAACTAGCAATACACGTCATAATTGCTTATAGCCAAGGCCATGAAAACGATCAAGCTGTGTTTTAACGCCTTTATTAAATTTCACCCATTTGTTTTATATCCCAACGGAAATATCTAGCACTAGCAAATTACTGCATCGTAATTCTTTAATAGCCGATCGAGGTAATTTGATTTTAACTGCATTCATAATTAAAATATGCTTTATATGTATATATATTAGGTGACTTAAATAAATATATAAATAATTTTAATGATAGGTTATTTAAATCGACTTGATTAAAGATCAAGCGTGCGAAGGTGATACAAAAGGGTGGTCATGATCCTCAGCAGTGAGGAATGCGACGCAAGTGGATGGGGATTGAATAATATGTATAGATGTTACTACGATAGGTAGGTAAATAAAAGCAAATACCATTTTTTTAATGTATGTACTTCACAAATATTCACGAATGACCCCTATGGTACATGAATAACATCGTGTAACGTAAAACGAACTCTAATTTGCGTAATAACTCGTGGCAAGGCGTCTTCTGAGCCCACACATGTAGGTACCATCACCCTGCCTATTTCTGCCGTGAAGCCGTAATGCGTTTCGATTTGAAGTATGGGGCCGCCATCGTACAGTAAAACTGAGACTCAGATCTCATGTCTTAAGCTGGGTGGCAGCAATAACGCTATCGATGTCTGTCGGTCACCACTTAACACCACGGGCCATGAGCTCGTTCAACCTCATAGGCAAGAAGATGATAAAACAGCCGTAATATAATACTGCTACGCGCTGGGGTTCGGGATAAATAAAATTCTACCGAAGTACAAATTAAAAACTGTATTCAACACTTAGAACACTTAAAACACTTCACAAACACTTTAAAATTCTCGAATCGCTTCTTCCGCTTCGCTTCAGGTGATCCGTTCGCTGTTTCGCTTCGAGTAGTTCCGATTACTAACTGACTGCGTGCCATATCTGCAACGCTTTTATAGCCGATACCACATCTCTAGAATTATCGAGAATATTCCACACATTTCGAGTATTGTGTTTCCGCTATCTGACAATAGATGGCGGTGTACTTCTCGAGCGTTCTAGATGTTACTAGATCCTTCGATATTCGTTCGACTATTCCCCGATAGATGGCGTTACTCTTGCCGGCGTAACAATACTTCAACTTCTAATATCAAGTTGAATGACTTTATTTACTTTGTATGTATTCAGAAAAGCACTTCACACCAGGTGCGCCGAGAGCTCGCTCTTCCGTCTATCTAATAAAAGATTGTATACTAGTCTTCTATCTGCTCTGGTGGTGAAGAAATGTAATTTTTTTTTTCATTATTTCTGTCTATTATCAGATAAACTAACTACAAAAATAACTTTACATATGAAGGCCATGTTAAAGGTTAAATGGGCTATTAGCGTTAGTTTGTGGTATGATTTTCTTGACTATTCTTTCTCACTGATACCTGAATTTATCTTCTATCTATATATATAAAAATGAATTGCTGTTCGTTAGTCTCGCTAAAACTCGAGAACAACTGGACCGATTTCGCAAATTTTGGTCTTGAACTATTTGTGGAAGTCCAGAGAAGGTTTAAAAGGTAGATAAATATGAAAATGCTCTGAATTAAATAAAAATAATAATTTTGTTTTTCCTTTGATGTGTTTATTTTATACAAAAGTTTAGGTCCTTTATTTATCGATTGAGGCACTACGAAGTCTGCCGGGTCAATTAGTTATGTATAAATGTTAAATTACGCAATGTTGCAAGTACAGCTACTATATTAATAATTGTTAATTTATCACTTTAACCGTAGCGTGATATTACACAGACAGTCTAAATTCTCAACGCGTTCCCGTTGCGGTTCCTAGCCACTGTATAACAAGACTTCGCAGGAACAACACCGATCGCGGCAGTTCGTGTAAAAACATGTTACAAATACTTACCACGTTTTTAATGTTCTTAATTATGATTGGAATTAGAGCATTTGAAGAAGACTACGACATTGAATATTACGATGACTTGCCGGAAAATCATTATCACAAAGAGGGAAGATCGTTTTCGTATCCCCAGAGTCCGATTATAGATTTGATTATGAAAACAGCGGCCCCTAATTATGTACCGAAAAATTCTGGAGACATTTTTGACTTTTTGAGAGATTCGTATCCGCTGCCTGGAGGTAAGCTTTTTTTATGTGAATATTGAATGTTAATTTTGTCGTTTTTGCTGGCGGTCCCACCCTTCCGACGGGGAACGCATTTATGCTTCACATTAAGATGCTGGTACCAACAAGATCAGATATAATATCACTATTATATTTGATTGAATTTCAATTTCCTTGCACTATAATAGTTTCAATTATATATACTATAATAACAATAATCAATAATCACTTGATTTTAATGTGGGCAAACAATTATTAAATTTTTAAGATGTGCTAAATTATTTTGGATTTACAAATAAACTACCAGTACTCTGTAGTAGCTGTCCGAGCCTTCGAACTCGAATGTTTCGTGGCAGAAATAAGCAGAATGGTAGTACAGACCCGCGCAAGCTAAATCATAACGCCCTATTTACTACTAGAAATTGATTTTATATTGTTTTTGACGATTTTATTTTTATTAAACTAGGACACATGGTACTCGCCTGCGGGATTTGAGCATAAACGTATCGTTTGACGCGATAACAGAAAGCGTCTCATCTTTTAGGCCATGATGAACAGTTGGTGTCGCGAATAAAAAATACCAATGTTTGATCAAAAATCGGATGAATTACATTCAGATCGATTACGATATAGTTTTCGCACTCTGATATTCTATAACATGATTGCGTAATTCAGTGCGTTTCTTAATACTCCAACTGTTATTTTCCTGACAAGCTATTTCTTGCGGAAACCTAATGGTAGTTGCTAAATAACGTGTTATTATATTAATTATCCAGAAATACACGATACTTGAATCGCTATAATGATTTGCTCTTTTTTTCTTACTTAAATTAAATGGAAAACTGCTAAGCGCGTCTCAATACCGGAAATTTTTCCAAATGACTATTCTCGTCAAGGAACACCAAAAACTGTGAAATACCCGAATTTTCAAAGCTCATGTTTCCAATAGTTTTGGCGCATCCGTTATTTCTAACTGAATGTCACGTAAATCATTTTTTATTTTTCAGGACTGCACAGCCCTTATCATGAATACGATTTCGTAATCATAGGGGCGGGCTCAGCGGGCTCCGTTTTAGCTTCTAGACTAACAGAGGATAAGAACACCACGGTCTTGCTTATAGAGGCCGGGAAGCCAGAAATGATATTAACTGACATTCCAATTATGGCACCATATTTTCAATCAACAGAATATGCCTGGCAGTACTACATGGAACCCCAACCTGGAGTTTGTAAAGGTAAAATCGTCTCGATCTTCAATTAGACATCTTTATATACATTTTTGCTCTATTGATATTGTGTGGTATGGTATTAAAGGCGTAAAAATCAAAACGTTATTGTATCTTTCCAACTTTTTACATGAGAACGAACAAAATTGCGTTGCAAGTTTATAGTTATAGTTTTCCTACGGTTCAAAACTTCCACCACACCAAAATTCACTTCAGTATCACTAAATCAGGTTATTATACAATAGTACTAGAGTAATTTTCTGTATCACAAATACCGACTCACGCTAAAAGTGTTTATAAATAATAGATCTGAATCCTCAGGTATGATCAACGGTCGTTGTTTTTGGCCGCGCGGGAAGGCGGTCGGGGGTAGCAGCGTCATCAACTACATGATATACACGCGGGGTAGACCACAAGACTGGGACAGGATCGCGGCCGCAGGGAATTATGGATGGTTTGAAAATAATTTTAATTTATTTTAATGTTTAATAATATTTTTATTTATTTATATGCAGAACGTTTTGATTTCTTTAGTGATGCAAGTGTTTATCTTGGGACGATAAAAAATCCTAAAATTAGTGAAGATGCTATTTTAATTAGCATGACTGTGTTTATATTTATATTAGCTGTACCCGTCCGCTTCGCGTAGCATTTAAAATTAGCATTATTATTTCTCATCCCCACAAAGATTCTCATCATTGACACCCCCGTAACTGGTATAGGGAGTCCAACACTCTTATAAATATTAGCCTATCCATTAAGTACATGTATTTTCTACATGGAGACCAAGTTTCAAGTCGTTCGGATGCATGGTTCAGTAGTTATAACGGAATATCCGTAAAAACCACTGTAGCTCTATTTGTATTAGTATAGATTGTTGATATACCTTGTAATATTTGTATCTTAGATTTTTTAGTAGAATTACGAGTATTACTTTTCACTTAAGACCTTTACATAACTCATTTACAGAACATTTCATTAATTTTCGTTGTTTTTTGTTTCCTTGCTTTTCGAGGTTTGCTTTTTGGTCATGTTCCTAAATAGTATAAATCCAAGTCGTTCTTTGCCTCTTGCTATTTCTCTTTTTTTTCTACCTGAGCTGGTAACCAAGGGTGCGTAACCGGACGAGTAGGTTAGCTCGCGGGGCTTTAACCTGTGGACGTCGCCAACACAAGCCCCAGCAAGAGTAATGCATCGCAGAATCTACCACCGGATCGGAAACGCGATCCACTGAGAAGATCCGGCGAGAAACTCAGTGAGCTGCGTCTGAGGGTTCTGTTTCTCCATTTACACATTCCAAGCAGCTGTAATCGATCTTGATACATTTTTCAACAATATATAGAACTATAAACGAAAAGAGATTATGTGTGAATATTTTGGACAAAGTAACAAAACTATGATTGTTTTATGTCAAAAAAGGTATTATATTGCCAACGTTGGTCAAACCCACTACGGGCCATGTTGTGTGCACGATTGTAACTGTTATTGTATGGTTACATGGCAACATTAGGCAAATCTTAAAAACAGTGTATTTCAAGGGGGCGAAACGGCCGCGGCGTGCGGAGAGGTAAAATTTTTATAAGAGACTAGCTGACCCGGCAGACTTCGTAGTGCCTCAATCGATAAATAAAAGACACATCAAGGGGACACATCAAAGGAAAAACAAAATTGTTTGTTTTTATATAATTCCAAGCTTTTTTATATTTTCTCACCTTTCGAACCATCCCTGGACTTTCACGAATAATTCAAGATCAAAATTAGCCAAATCGGTCCAGCCGTTCTCGAGTTTTAGCGAGACTAACGAACAGCAGTTTATTTTTATATATAGAGATACGTAAATTACGTGACAATTTGTATACATCAAGGCTTTGGTAAGGCCTTATCAATAGATTTTTTCTATGCAATTGACAGTAAATTTGTATGTTTTAACAGGTCGTACCGTGAAGTTTTGGAATATTACAAAAAATCTGAAAACGCTAGACTCAATGGTTATGAAAAAGATCCAACAAGGAATCGTAATGGGGAAAACCCTGTGGAATTTGTACCGATCAGGTAGTACATTAATAATTCACTAAAAAGTACGTCCAGTTTAATATTTCCTATTTATTCGATACCATAGGTTAAAATGATTTTATCATTTATATGTGAGACAGAAATAGACAGTATAAAATTAAATACCGGCTATTATCATGACACTGTGTAACAATTTTAACGGTTCTACTAATAATGGGGACTGGAAACTTTGTTTAGAATCACATTAGTATGATTCGTACAAAATACAAACAAATAAACCTAACTATTTCAAAATTCGATGTTTATATTCCACGTATTTTTGTAAATTTATTTATAATTTTCAGGACTAAGCTCATCAAAGCATTTTTAGAGGCCGGTAGAATCTTTGGACATCCAACAATTGATTACAATTCACCGCACCAATTAGGATTCGGTTATGTGCAAGCTATAACAACCAAAGGACACCGACAAAGTGCTGCGAAAGTATTCCTGCATAGACAGAAGAAGCGACAAAACTTACACATCTTGCCGGACACATACGTCACTAAAATACTCATAGATGCTCGAACTAAGACAGCCTATGGAGTCGAATACGTACGAAACAGATTAAAACACACTGTACTAGCACGAAAAGAAGTAATTCTATCAGCCGGTCCCATAGCGTCTCCTCAGCTACTTATGTTATCCGGCGTGGGGCCTAAAAAACACTTAAATTCAATGGGCATACCGGTTCTCAAAGATCTGCCAGTTGGTAAAATGCTATACGATCATATTTGTTTCCCGGGACTTATATTTGAACTCAACACAACCGATGTCAGCTTGCACGAAAGCAAAATGTTAAGAGTGCGACCTATACTGCAGTGGTTAAAGAATGGTGATAGTACACTATCATCTCCGGGTGGCGTGGAAGGAATCGGTTATATCAAAACTCCGATCTCCAACGATCCAGATCCTATACCCGATATTGAACTAATCAGTATCGGTGGATCTATACTGTCAGATGGTGGGCCTGGAGGCAGTAGAGCAATTCGAAGAGGAATGAGAATTAGGGATGCAGTTATAGATGAGGCTTTTGGATCAATAGATAGAGTCGCAAGAGATACTTGGAGTGCTTTTATTTTGTTGCTACACCCAGTTTCATTTGGGGGAATAGAGCTTAAAAATAAAAACCCATTTAGTCATCCCCGGATGTATGGAAATTATTTAACTCATTCGAAGGATGTAGTAACAATTATTGCTGGGATACGATACGTACAGGCTATGGCGGCAACATTCCCTTTCCAGAAGTTTGGTGCAAAAGTACACAAAGCGTCCTATCCAACTTGCCGACACATACCGTTTGATTCAGATGAGTACTGGGAATGCGCTATTCGCACCCTCACTGCTACTTTGCACCACCAGATTGCGACGTGTCGAATGGGACCAAACAATGATCCATTAGCAGTTGTAGACCCAGAACTAAGAGTATATGGGATCGAAAAACTGCGGGTCGTAGATTCAGGAGTCATACCACGAACTATATCTGCTCATACACNGTTGTAGACCCAGAACTAAGAGTATATGGGATCGAAAAACTGCGGGTCGTAGATTCAGGAGTCATACCACGAACTATATCTGCTCATACACATGCACCCACGATGATGATCGCTGAAAAAGCTGCTGATATGATCAAAGCTACATGGGCATCAATGCTACCTAATTACATTTCCTATTCATAAATTAATTCATTTCGGGTTATGCATATTTTACGAACGCGCCAAATTATATTTATTTTATATTATAAGGAAATTAAGTTTTTAAAAAAGTTACTTGGTTACCAGTCATCTACGTTCACTTTTTAAATAGGGATTTTGTTTATTATAATATTTTTTATTTGATTATAAAATATTTTAAAATAAATTGTACATTATTGAAAATTACAAGAATATACTTTCAGGAAAAGCTAGTAAAAGCGTATCAAGAATACACGCAAAACAAAGATATAGAATTTACGAGGGCGTTAGACATAAATAATACATTAATTTAATATAATATATTTATATATAATAAATAAATAATTAGGGTAAATCACTAAAACAGTGTAATTATTCGTTTAATCCCGTTGAATATAATATGTTGCGAATTGTATTAGCGCCGCGAGTTAAAAATACATTCAAAACAAAAATACAGAGCTTACAATTACATAAATCATAAAGGATATTAATTAAGGTAAATTGGTCAAATGATGTAATAATTATTAATATCGTTCAATCTGATATATTGCGAATTCTAGTGTCGGACGGACATCATTATGATATTTAGATAAGAGCAAGCCCTAAGTTTCTTGCCTTCTCAGGTGTGAAGCTGCTTTTAGAATCAGTAGCAAATTCTTGACGATTTAAAAGCGCCCGGGAAGGTCTACATAAATACGAAATACATTTAGGTTTTGAATGTTTAAGGCATAGCATCGTCATTGCCATTAACTTCTATTAAACAAGTTCATTTAAAAATTATCAAGTTATGATGCTGACGTGGCTCAATTTTACCAGGAAATACTCGTTAATTTTCTCTTTCCTGAATCGTTCGATAACGAGGCTTACAGCGTGTATGTTACTGTAAACTTTAAGGGTGGTCCCGTCCCTCAGCAGTATGGAATACGACGCAAGGGGGAGGGATTGAAAAATTAATAATGTGTATAGAGTTACTACAATAGGTAGGTAAATAAAAGCAAATACCATTTTTTTATGTATGTACTTCACAAATAATAGGTTGGGGAAAAAGTTTTTCGCATAACAAATAGTATGTATGATCTTGTAATAAAATCTCTTTGGTTATACTATTTGTATCTGGCTGGTTTTAGTATCAATAAAAGTTTAAATTGTAAAGAAGATAATTCCAAATTGAAATTAGAAAAATGTGTGATTTTTATTTATTTTTCGTACTGTCAAGATGAGTGAATCTAATGAAGAAATTCGATACATTTTAAAATTTTACTACAAAAAACGTAAAAATGCAACGCAAAAAAAAAAAAAAATTAAACCCGGAAATTTTGATGTCAGTCGCTCTGGTCGCCCTATTGCGGATAAAAAGGATGCTATTTTTGAAAAAGTGGAGTAAGATCGGCATATCAGTACTTACGACGTAGCTGAGCAATTGACCACAAAACAGTTTTGGCGCATTTGAAAAAAACTGAGTACACATAAAACTCAATATTTGGGTGCCACACGAGCTCACTGAAAGAAACCTAATGAACCGTGTACTCATTTGTGATTCTTTATTACGACGTAATAAAACCGAACCATTTTTGAAAAAGCTGATAACTGTCCGCGCGGGTGGGTACCACCACCCTGCCTATTTCTGCCGTGAAGCAGTAATTCGTTTCGGTTTGAAGGGTGGGGCAGCCGTTGTAACTATACTTGAGACCTTAGAACTTGTATCTCAAGGTGCGTGGCGCATTTACGTTGTGGATGTCTATGGGTTCCAGTAACCACTTAACACCAGGTGGGCTGTGAGCTCGTCCACCCATCTAAGCAATAAATAAATAAAAACGTACAACAAGAACGTGTGAAAAAGGTCATGGTCAAAGGCCGGTCAGGCTTCACAGACTGTGGTGAAACCCGGGTTAACTTGCAACAAGGTGATGCTGTGTGTGTGGTGCGATTGGAAGGGCATTCTTAATTATGAGCTGTTACTACCAGGCAGGACCATCGATTCTGTACTCTACTGCGAACAACTGATGAGATTAAAGCAAGAAGTTGAGAGAAAGCGGCCGGAATTAATCAACAGAAGGGGTGCGGTTTTTCATCATGATAACGCTAGACCTCACACATCTTTAACCACTCAGCAAAAATTAAGAGAGCTTGGCTGGGAGGTGTTAATGCATCTTCCGTATGGTCCTGTCCTTGCACCTTCAGCTTTCCACCTGTTTCGGTCTCTTCAGAATTCTTTAGGCAGTGTCAGGTTAACATCACGAGAGGACTGCCAAAACAAATTGTCGCGGTATTTTGATCAGAAGCTCCAAAATTTCTATAGCAATGGGATTATGTCCCTACCTACATGATGGCAAAAAGTTATCGCACAAAATGGTACCTACATACTTTAGTTCAATGTAAATAAACTATGTTAAAAAATGTTGTGAATTTTTTTTAAAAATGCCAAGAAACTTTTTCACGAATGACCTCCACGGTGAAGAAATAACATCGTGTAAAGCATAACGAACTCTAATTTGCGTAATTACATGTGGCAAGGCGTCTTCTGAGCACACACGGGTAGGTAACATCATCCTGCCTATTTCTGCCGAGAAGCCGTAATGCGTTTCGGTTTGAACGATGGGGCCGCCATTGTACAGTAAAACTGAGACTCAGATCTCATGTCTTAAGCTGGGTGGCGGTAATTCCGATGTCGATGTCAGCAGGTCACCACTTAACACCGTGGGCCGTGAGCTCGTTCAACCTCATAGACAAGAAGATCATAAAACAGACGTAATACAATACTTCAACTTCTGATATCAAGTTGAGTGTCTGATTCGCTTTGTATGTATTCAGAAAACCACTTCACACCAGGTGCGCCAAGAGCTCGCTCTTCCGTCTATCTAATAAAATTATATACTGGTCTTCTATCTGCTCTGGTGGTGAAGAAATGTAATTTTTCTTTTCATTATTTCTTTCTACTATCAGGTAAACTAACCACAAAAATAACATTACAGGTAAAGATCATCTTAAAGGATGAATTCTTTATTAGCGTTAGTTTCTGGTATGATTTTGTTGACTATTCTTTCTCATTGATACCTGAATTTATTATGTGTAAATGTTAAATTACGCAATGTTGCAGGTACTGCTACTATACTAATAATTGTTAATTTATCACTTTAACCGTAGCGTGATATTACGCAGACAGTCTAAATTCTCAACGCGTTCCCGTTGCGGTTCCTAGCCACTGTATAACAAGACTTCGCAGGAACAACACCGATCGCGGCAGTCCGTGTAAAAACATGTTACAAATACTTACCACGTTTTTAATGTTCCTAATTATGATTGGAATTAGAGCATTTGAAGAAGACTACGACATTGAGTATTACGATGACTTGCCGAAAAATCATTATCACAAAGAGGGAAGATCGTTTTCGTATCCCCAGAGTCCGATTATAGATTTGGTTATGAAAACAGCTGCCCCTAATTATGTACCGAAAAATTCTGGAGACATTTTTGACTTTTTGAGAGATTCGTATCCGCTGCCTGGAGGTAAGCTTTTTTTATGTCAATATTGAATGTTAATTTTGTCATTTTTGCTGGCGGTCCCACCCTTCTGACTTTAATGTGGGCAAACAATTTAATGTTTAAGATGTGCCAAATTATTTTGGATTTACAAATAATCTACCAGTAAGTAGTCTGTAGTATGATGGCTGTCCGAGCCTTCGAACTGGAATGTTTCGTGGCAGAAATAAGCAGAATGGTATCACAGACGCGCGCAAGCTAAATCATAACACCCTATTTACTACTAGAAATTGATTTTATGTTGTTTTTGACGATTTTATTTTTATTAAACTAGGACACATGGTACTCGCTTGCGGGATTTGAGTATAAGCCTATCGTTCGATACAATAACAGAGAGCGTCTTATCTTTTAGGCCATGATGAAATGGAATACAAAATGGAATAAAAAATACCAAGATACTGTTCGATCAAACATTGGATGAATTACATTCAGATCGATTACGATATAGTTTTCGCACTCTCATATTCTATAACATGATTGCGTAATTCAGTGCGTTTCTGAATACTCCAACTGTTATTTTCCTGACAAGCTATTTCTTGCGGAAACATAATGTTAGTTGCTAAATAAGGTGTTATTATATTAATTATCTAGAAATACACGATACTTGAATCGCTGTAATGATGTGCTCTTTTTTCTTACTTAGATTAAATGGAAAACTGCTAAGCGCGTCTCAATACCGGACCAATACATATCATCATTCAAATACTATATTCAAATTTTGCCAAATGACTATTCTCGTCAAGGAACACCAAAAACTGTGAAATACCCGAATTTTCAAAGCTCATGTTTCCAATAGTTTTGGCGCATCTGTTATTTCTAACTGAATGTCACGTAAATCATTTTTTATTTTTCAGGACTACACAGCCCTTATCATGAATACGATTTCGTAATCATAGGGGCGGGCTCAGCGGGCTCCGTTTTAGCTTCTAGACTAACAGAAGATAAGAACACCACGGTCTTGCTTATAGAGGCCGGGAAGCCAGAAATGATATTAACTGACATTCCAATTATGGCACCATATTTTCAATCAACAGAATATGCCTGGCAGTACTATATGGAACCCCAACCTGGAGTTTGTAAAGGTAAAATTGTCTCAATCTTCAATTAGACATCTTTATATACATTTTTGCTCTATTGGTATTGTGTGGTATAGTATTAAAGGCGTAAAAATCAAAACGTGATTGTATCTTTCCAAATTGTTACATGAGAACGAACCAAAATTGCGTTGCAAGTTTATAGTTATAGTTTTCCTACGGTTCAAAACTTCCACCACACCAAAATTCACTTCAGTATCACTAAATCAGATTATTATACAATAGTACTAGAGTAATTTTCTGTATCACAAATACCGACTCACGCTAAAGTCTTTATAAATAATAGATCTGAATCCTCAGGCATGATCAATGGTCGTTGTTTTTGGCCGCGCGGGAAGGCGGTCGGGGGTAGCAGCGTCATCAACTACATGATATACACGCGTGGTAGACCACAAGAATGGGACAGGATCGCGGCCGCAGGGAATTATGGATGGTTTGAAAACAGTTTTAATTTATTTTAATATTTAATGATTTTTTATTTATTTATATGCAGAACGTTTTGAATTCATTAGTGATGCAAGCGTTTATTATGGGACGATCAAAAATCCTAAAATTAGTGAAGATGCGTGAATATTTTGGACAAAGTAACAAAAATATGATTGTTTAATGTCAAAAAAGCTATTATATTGTCAACGTTGGCCAAATCTACTAAGGGCCATGTTGTATGCACGGTTTTTTTTTTTATTTATTGCTTAGATGGGATGGGGCCAGCTCACAGCCCACCTGGTGT